AAAAAAAAAAAAAAAAACATACAGCAAGATGAAAAAAAATGATAAATATATATAATAATTTAGTTCATATATGACAATCTACTAGGCACAATTTTCAATAGTGTCTAAATAAAAGTATTTCGAACAAATAAGATTATGTTTGACATTTGTTGTAATGACTATTAAATATTATCGTAAGTTTAAAATAATGCTTCAACATTTAATACTATGATTTTTAGAAGCAGAAACTATAAAAGCATCTAAATCCAATATAAAATGGCTTTTTATTATGTAACATAGTATTGATCATTATGTAATGTGCTTTTTATTTTATAAATTAAAGACAATATGTAAATAATTGAATATACCATATTGATATGAAACTATATTTTAAAATTATAAAAAGAAAATATATAAATTATGTGTCACTTGCGCCGCACTTTACTACTAATTTAAAATGTCTCATCAAGTCTTCTTACTTTGAATATCGAGTGATTATGAAGATTCCTATAAAATTTTAATTGAATAGATTTAAAAAAAAAATCACAATTAAATACATGTAATTTTTGTGAAGAAAAAAAGATAAAAAATTTTAGTTAAATACACCATAATTTTAAATGTATTAAAAAATCACCTTAATTTTAAAAGTATTAAAAAAATCCGTAAAAGTTTAAATTGAATACACATATACCTATTATATGAGCTACTAGTATTTGATCATGTGCATTTGCACAGATATAAAACACGTTTTTGTTTGTATTTATTAATTAGACATGTACTTCTATCATATAAAAATTATTACTTCTTCTTAAGTTATTTTTATCATTCAAAATTAACTGATATTTAAATTTCATTTTAACCATGCACCGTTTACATTAGTAACATGAATAAAATAATTTATATATTTGTGGAATATATTACAAAAATTAACATAAATAAAAAAAATTATTGGTGTTTATGATTTTTAGAAAAAAAAATGTGTCAATCATATTTTTCTTCCAACAATGCAACCAAATATAACTGTTACAACTCTGAATGTGTCGATGATCAACTTTAAGTTCCAACATTAGCCGTTACACATTTGAATATTTTGCTACCAAATTTAGAATTAATTTACTAACTGATCCAAAAAATAAATAATAAAATATATATATTAAGGTGTAACGATTTTAGCAGATTAGTGAGTAATTAATTAAAAAATATATAACTCCTCTTAGAAGAAAATAAAAATAAATTTTATTAAATGTATCAGCTAGTAATTATATATATACATATCACTACAAAATAAATGTTATATTCCAACACAAAATCCTATGGTAATATATTCCAATAGAAATTCCAACGGATATTCCAATGGAATAGCTTCCGTTGGAATAGTTCCAACAGAAATTCCAACAGAAATATTCCGTTGGAATGTGTTTTTCATTGAAATTTTATATGGAATTTGATAATTCCAACGGATATATTTCCAACGGCTTTTTACCGTAGGAATTTCCGTTGGAATATGCAAACTCCGTTGGAATTTTTTTTTTCCACCCCCGTTGGAAAATCCACCGTTGGAATCGTCAAAATCCAACGAAAATTCTAATGAAAAACTCATTCCAACGGAATATTTTCGTTGGAATTTCCGTTGGAATCCATTGAAAAATTCCAACGGAAATAATAGTATTGAAATATCCGTTGGAATTGCCGTTGGAATAATTCTTTTGAAATATATTTTCGTTGGAATTCCATCATTTTCTTGTAGTGTATATTACTCCGTAACTTTACAAGAATTAAAAATATTTTTTTTAGTTTATTGAAAGATTTTTCCCTCTTATTTCTATCGCTATATCCCATTCAAATAGACCCACCATCCTCTCTCTCTCTCTCTCTCTCTCTCTCTCTCTCTCTCTCTCTCTACCCCTTTGATGACAGAGGGGTTTATGAGCGAAAATGGCTGATCAGAGAAAACCCTTTTTCAGTGCAAAAGACGCTGATGACTTGGGCTCCCAGAATTCCGTTAAAATAGAGAAAAAGCTGTTGGTGGATGTTAACCAGCTCGCCGTCGGGCCAATGATCAGTGAAGGGACCTACTCCATTGTCTACGAAGGACTGTGAGTTCTTTCTATTTGTTCTCTTATTTTTTAATTTTCCTGGGAAGAATAAATCTCCACTGAAATGTTTCGGTTCATCGATAGTGATCTTGGTTTTCTGTGGCTTTTAGTGTGTTCTTGAATCGCCATGCATCCCTCGAATTTCGTTTCTTTTCTTGTCTTTCTGATTCAGTTTCTTTTCATGTGTTGTAATTCAGTCAATCTCTGATAATTCAAAGGCATGTTGAAGGGACCCCTGCTATTTGTTTGTTGAAATGCCAGACGTTGTGTGATTGTGTGTTCATGAGAAGTTGTTTAAACCATTAACCACATCGTGATGTTTAAGTAAATGTCGAACTGACGACGGAGAAACCGAGAGGAAAGTGTGTTTTGTAGTTGAGTGCTTTTTGGACGATAAAGAGGAAAAAGTCGTAACGTCTTCATAGTTGGCCGTTAGAGCGGCTTTTCGCATAAAGGAACGGAAATGCGTGCGTTTGCAATTTAGTATTGACCGTCCGGGCTCTTGTTGGGTTAGGTGAAATTTCATGAGATTTTAGCTATCTTCTGGAAATTTGCAAACGGGATTTTGTAATATTATACTTTTACCGTGAATTATTACGATGATTTTGTGAATCTTAGAAAGTAAGATTTAGGCAACCTAGAAAAATTTACGTCCCATTAATCTTTATGAGTTCACGGAATAATGAACTCGGCGCTAATACGTGTATAACTTTATAATGGCTAAAAGTGTTGATTAAAGGAACATTGATTGATAATGGTGCTTTCTGCTCTAGTATGCTCCTCTTGACCTTTCTATGTGGGGCAGATTGCTTGTGATACACACATAATTTCTATCGCATCTCGTTTGTTACAGTGAGTGTAATGTTATTAATGGAACATTAATTTCCCGTCTAAAAATACGCCACGCGTAAGGTAATGCTGGTTGAATGAAGGGGATGCCTAGATATTTTGGCTATCTTCTGTATATGAAAATTTATCCCAACAACTGTTTAGTTAATCAAACTTTAATGCTGAACGCTGAATGAAAGACCGAATATTTGAATTATTTGCAGGTCTAGGACCAAATTTGAATGTGACCATAGTTTGACTAGCATTCGGTTTTATCTCATTGCTTAACCGATTCACTGACCCCAAATTATTAAGTGTAGCCAGAAATCAATTTTCTTCTCTATATATTAGAACCATGATTTTACATTGTCGATTTCGTTTCAGTTTATACTACATAACTGTTGAACAGGTGATTGGTTTAAGTCTGTCATGAGTCGTGGCAAGCATAAAGGTTAAGTATATATGGAATTTTAGAAGCAAAAAACCATTATCAATGGATTGAATATCTCATAACTTAAAATATGTTACAGAGTAGATAAAATGTAATGAATATTTATGTATTTTTATTTTCTGGAAATTTTGCTCTTTTGTTTCTTCTAGATACAAATCCATACCTGTGGCTATAAAGGTGATACAATCAGACATGTCAGCAGATGTGAGCCAAGAACTCCAAGAAAAATTTAGCAGGGAGGTTTCGATGCTTTCTCGAGTAAATCACGAGAATATTGTCAAGGTATGCACGTATGATGGATGCATGCTTGTTCACTTCATACAATTACATGTGATCTTGGTTTGGTCGAGTTCATTCCCCTGCTTTTTTTTTTTTTATAATTATTTTCTAATAAGATGTTGTAAACTTAAATGAAACAGTAACTTATAATTTTACCAGCGTTTATGCTTTAGTACTCCATGAAGCTGAAACTTTAACGAGTTGTCTAATTTATTTATTTTTTCGCATTCCGAATAAATTTATATCGGATATTCTTGTTGATTGAACAGTTCATTGGCGTCAGCGTAGACCCGACATTGATGATCATTACAGAGCTTATGAATGGTAGCACGCTACAGAAGTTCTTGTGGAGCACCCGTCCAAATTGCCTGGACCTCAAGCTTTCCATGTCCTTTGCGCTGCAGATTTCTCAAGCAATGGAGTACCTTCACCGAAACAGAATTATCCACCGTGATTTAAAACCGAGTGAAGTTTCATGCTTATTTTTACATGTTATAGCCATTTACGCTGGTCGACACTTGCTAAGTTTGGGTGTTTTAGCAATGACTAGCCATATGTTTACTTAATTTGCAAAAAGTCCATTCTTCTTCTGTCTGCTGTCGAAGTTCTGACTACTACAGTGAGCCAAAAAAAAAAAATATACATTTTCAATTGCTGATTGAAATACTTCTACTACTGATAATATATGTGTGTAGGCAACTTACTTCTTACAGAAGATAAAAAGAAACTAAAATTGGCCGACTTCGGTTTGGCTAGAGAAGAATCTGATGATGAGATGTCAACAGAGGCAGGGACTTACCGTTGGATGGCGCCTGAGGTATTTTCTTTCGATGCAGAGTGTTGGTATACATTTCTTATGCTCGATAATAATAACCTTCGGATTTCGTTTTTTTTTTCTCGTCCTTTCCTTTGAATCAGTTGTTCAATGTAGAACCTCTTTGTTTGGGAGTAAAGAAACATTATGATCACAAAGTAGATGTGTATAGTTTCTCTATGGTTCTCTGGGAGCTGATCACTAACCAAACCCCCTTTAAGGGCAGCAACAACATAATGGTGGCATATGCTGCAGCCATGGTATGGCTGGTTTCTTTTCCTAGATAATTTTTTTTTTTTTTATTGTTTGATACATTTGAATAGGAAACATATCTTATTGTAATTTTTGGGAAAAAAAAAAGAAGCAAATTGAAACTTACTGGTTTTGTATTATAATCGATATATTAGTAATTTGATGTTGCATGAAATTTTACTTGCATTAGAACCGAAGGCCGAGCACGGATAACATCCCCCCACAGATTGCACCCCTTTTGCAGTCCTGCTGGGCCGAAAATCCCCAAGACCGGCCTGAATTCCACCAGATTTCCAAGTTCCTCGAGGATTTCCTGCTCGGTAAATGCGAACGGGCGAGTGAATCACCTGGAGGACAACCGAGCTTGTTGGAGACGGAATATTCCAGAAGCAAACAAGAGAATGAGGCTACAGATTGCTTGATGAGTAGAGTCAAGCAGACTAAGAAGCAACCTAAAAGCCTATGGCTGAGGTTCTCCGGTCGTTTTAGACATTGCCTTTAGAAAAGACATAAAAATAGTTATATAGAAGCTTTCTTTTCTTTTGTCATATTTAGTCTGACTTGTTGCTCGATTTTGGTTCTCCAGCTTGTAGAAGCTCGATTTTGATCCTCCAGCATACTTTGAAGGCTCTTGAGTCGTTAGTATCTTTTAAAACGTGTAGCTTTTGTACAGGAAGTTCATGAATGAGGATGTATAAACGTAGTATCGAGGAAAAACATAAAGCTTTGGGAAGAAACAGAACACTCTTTTCAATTTCCCTTTTCGTTTGGGATAATGAATTGGGAAGCCGAACTCGAGAGTCTGGAGCAAAAATTTCATTCTTTTGGCTAGTCTTGATCACAGTGCATGCTATTCATCCCTTAGTATAGAATGAGAACATGAACATGTGCAGACACATGCATTAAAATAGACAAATGTCAGTCTTGCTCCAACCATGCCAATAATTTGAAACAGAATACAAGTAAAAACGTGCTGCCACACAAAGTTCTGACTCATTTTTACCATTTCTATTATGGTTTGGTTATATTGTAGCACAATATTATTACAAGGAGCAAGTTCTTGTTGCTCTTTCTCCTGAATGTTGAATGCCTTTACAAAATATGCCACAGAAGAAGTTTGTGATGCTAAAACGTCTTTCTCATACAAAGCCGCAAGTTAGCGAAGCACACGGTTCGTGTCTGGGGTGTTCTGAATAAATACTTTAGAAAGGAAAGTATCACTACCTGCAAACCTACAAAGATAGCTAACAAGGACAATGAAGTCGATTAGTTTACAATTGAATGCTACGTGGAGTTTAAGCTACGTTTGTCGAATGTTCTGCATTTTGGTGCTTCTTTCCTACCGCTTGCCTTTAAGGTCATTAGGGGCTTATTAAAAGACAAAAGATTTTGTTCCCATTGCATGCATTATCGAAACCAAAGTCCTTGGCCTAGATTACAAGGCATTTTCTCTGGTCAAAACAAGGTGTTCGGAACCCATCTTCAGCTCTTCGATCCCATTCCTGCGCGTGATTCAGCCCTTTGAAATAAGCAGAGTTATCCTCTTATTTTAACATCACCAATCACATGACACATGAGTTTATGGGGGAAAAAACTAAAAAAAAAAAGAGGAAAAAATAAGCAAAGTTATTTCTTATTTTAACATCACCAATCTCATGACTTGAGTTAAAATGAGAGAAGAAATAAGAAGGAACAAAATTATTCATTAGCATAAGAATGCAAATAAAGGTCCACATAACAATGATTATGTTCCCCCCAAAATCTCTCTGTTCTGTTCTTATTTCTAGTAAGTCTTCAAAATTTTCATCAATGATCACCAGTTATCAACACCACAAGAGTACAAATTTAATTTCCAAAGGGGGATGAAGTTATTGAAGGATTTTATGCTGCTGAATGCTAAAGTAATAGTTAGTAGTAAGTAAGATGAATTAGTCCTTAAAACACACAACATTAAATACCTGAAGACAAAACTAGGGAAGCAAAACAGGAACTTACAGCATTCAGCGTGGCATCTGATCGTCTGCCAGACAGCAGAAAACACAATACTTCCCACGATAATGTAAAAAGTATACCTACCCCACAACTCTGGCTATTGTATCAAGGTAAAATGCTCAATGACCCCAGAATGAATAGCCTTTCTCCCTTGTAACACTTCTTGATTCAGGCTGCCGGAGAAAATGATTTTCCCTGTGATTTTTCTTTGATTTTATTCCCGCCTTGTCCCCAAGCTTGCTAAAGCTCCGCCGATCATCTATAGGAGCATCTTTTTGCAATTTGTCACCTGTCTTTCCCTCCACCCAAGCCCGAAGCATAGCGTCTATTTCCGGCTCAGGCAACAACTCCTTCTCCTTCATTTCTAAATAATACTTATTCGCCTCATCCAATTTGCCGTTCAAGAAAAGCCCGTGTATGAGCACGATGTACGAGCTCCTATCCGGGTCAAGTCCGTTCTTGCCCATCTCAGCCCACACCCTGAATACTAGGTCCAGCTGGCGGCGACGACAAAATTTCTTTATCAACATGATGTACGTGTCGTGATCGGGAATACATCCAGCCTCGCGCATTTTATCCAAAAGATCAAAAACCTCATCACCTGTTCTCAAAGCCCGAATGAATGCATGGTAAGTACGAGTGGTCGGGAGCAAGCCTCTGGCAGTCATCTCATTAAACAATTCTCGGGCTTCTTCCAACTTCCGGTACTTACAGAGAGGCATTACGATTGAGTTATAGGTGATGCTGTTCGGACTAATTCCCTTGTCCTCCATTGTTTTCATCAGACCACGGGCTTCATTCACCAGCCTCCCTTTGGCCAGAGCATGAATCACAGCATTGTACACCTTTCTGTCAGGCTGAATATCTAAAGCCTTCATTTTTTCATACAACTTCAAAACTACACCCATTCTATTCAGTTTCGAGAGGCAGGATATGATGCTCGAGTACGAGTGCACATCATGCCTCACTCCCCTCCTTTCCATCTCCTTCCATATCCGTTTTCCCTCTTTCAACGAGCCAAGCACGTTGCACCATCCATTGAGCACAATGTTGAAGCTTTTGGTGCAGAGAGGGAAAATGGAAGCATTACAGAAAAGCAAATGCTCGGCATCCTTCACGTTTTTGTACCGGCACAGGGCCGAAAGCAGACCCTGGAACTCATCGACCCCTACCTTGAACCCGAATCGCTTGTGGGCGTAAAAGGCATTGATGGCCCGGCCAACATCGTGAACAGCCGCGTATTTTCTGATAATTATCAACAGAGTGTGGGGAGTCACGAGGGACAATGGCCTCATGCCATCAATCACGGACCACGCAGTGTCGAACTTCCTGAACTTGCCAAGGATGGCTATCATGGTGTGGTACTCCCGCAGTGAGTGGGAGTATCCGGGCTGCTTGCCGGCCCATACGAAGAAGGTGAAGGCTGCTTCCCAGTTGTTCCGCGTCCCGGCGAGAACGTCCGCCGCTAGCTGCCGCGTCAGATTGACCCCGGAATGATCGAGCCTTTTGCTCTTCTCTTGAGGATCAAGTGTTTGTAGAATACCCATAAGGATTTTGAGGTCGCCGGCCGAGCCCGAATTGCACACTGTTCGGTGCGCCGCGATGTCCTCATCCGATTCGCTATCAGAATCGTGATTCTGGTCGCCGCCAAAGGCATCTTCTTCGTCCCCGGCGGTTGAGGAGGAGGTAAAAGATGCGTAAGCGGCAGCAGGTCTGGGAATATAATGGTTTCTGGGTGGAGGGTAGAGAACGCTGAAATTGGATGATGGGAAATGAAGTGAGAGTTTGATGGGCTGGGTGGCGCTGTCAAAATAGGTTTGGCTATGCCGGAGTAAGAAAGGTAGGAATTTGAGATTTCTTCTCATCTTGTGGGAGGTTTTTGAGTCTGATGGCAGAGGACGGCGGCGATCATGGTGGGGTGGTTTGTTTAAAGGGGAGGGTCAAACACACAAATTATTTAAATGACCCTTTTGAAAAAACATTTGTTTAAATAACCTTTCCATTAAATAAAGGTAAATTAAAAATTTACAATACCTAAAATAACCTTACATATTAAATGACTATAATACCCTCTTTGTGTTACCATCTTTGTATTAAAAAAAAAAAAGAAAAAAAAGAAAAAAAATTTGATCGTTACATCCTCTCTGTCGCTCCATCTCTGTCGCTCGGTCTCTCTCTGTGTGTGCTCCGCTCCCTCTCTGTCGCTCCATCCTCTCTTCTCTTGGAAAGGTAAGAAAAAAATATAATCATTACACATAAACTTTTGATTCCATATTGCAAAATAGATGTAGTTATTGTAGAGGATCAACAATTGAAACATGTTAGGGTTTGATGTTATTTTAAATATAAAGCATTATGGTTCATATTTTATGATTTATAAGTATGTTGGTTTCATATTTATCATATTTTTGTGGCATTGAGGTTTTTTTTTTTTTTTTTGTACATAACGAATATACAGTCGTTATGTAGTTTACATAACGACTGTACATTCGTTTTTATGTAGAATATGTCATAAAAATTTAGATGTGTTATATAATTATTTCATAGTGAATTTTGACATATCTCAATGTAGTTTCCTTATAACATTTTTGAACATAGTTTCGTTACTTTACTTTGATATGCATGTTGGTTTCATTGTGGTTTTCATGTTTTTTGTGTCATCTTCTATTTTTTTTATATGATGTTGCATTGGAAATTGCATAACGAATATATAGTCGTTATCCATTGTCGTAACGAATATCTATTCGTTATTTGATGATTTTGTCATAACGAATGTAGATTCTTTAGATGATTAAATTATAACTAAAATTGTACTTTCGTTATGACAAAAATAGTCGGTTATATATAAATTGTAAAGAGTAAACTTAAGAACATTGTATATTATCTCCTATGTTAGTAACATGTGTTTCCACAATTATCTTGTTGACTTGAACTAACATATATATTTTTTTTTTCTTGTAGATATTGATTTTAGCAAAGATGGTGTGGATACAAGTATGCTACTATGTTGAGTTTAAAAATAACACAGATGACACTTGGACGTGGAGATATGTGAATGAAGATGAAAAGAATGTCAGAGTTATTTTCGTACGCGACGACATATCTTTCTTGGAACTTGAAGATGCGGTCATGAAGCTCATAAAGTTCGATAGCATCTCACACGTAATTGAATTGCGATCACTGAACCCAAGAGTGATGAAACTTCCAGTTCCCCCTGTGAAGATCGATTCTGATGACACAGTCAAATGGTATATATCTATTTGTGACGATCATCCTCTTTGCGTAACACTTGTCGAAAAACTTGTTGAAAAAGAAACGAACAATGTTGAAGTTGATAAAAATTTTGAAGTTGAAGAAGAAACAAACAATGACAATTTAGAGACGATCGAAACACTTACGTGGGAAAATGAAATTACCGAGCCGCTCGAAGATCAATGGGACATTATGGTGGAGAATAGAGATAGTCCTATGGAAACAAATGTTGAAGTTGAAGATGAAAGAGGAACCACATTGTTGATAGAAGAGGCGCGTGAGAATTTTTCAACACAATATGCCATGGTTGGGAATGCTAGCTGCTCTATGAGTCCTCTTCGTTGTCCATCTTCTGTGATGATCCCAGAGAATGAAGATGTGCAATGTAACAATATCTTCTCAACCAAAAAGGACTTGGTAGATAAAATTTTGTTGTTGGCCGTGAAGTATCACTTTGAATTTCGAGTGGTAAAATCAACGAAGACCTTATATGTTGTTGCTTGTGTTGAAAGAAATTGTCCTTGGCGTTTGAGAGCGGCGAAGATAGACAGTGGTGAAATTTTTGTGGTTCGTAAGTATGTCGGTAATCACACTTGCTCTATGAGTGTGCGTCGTAAAGATCACAGGCATGCGACGTACAAGCTGATTGGGAAGCACATTTCCGAAAAGTATAAAGACGTCAATCGGATTTATAAGCCGAGGGACATTATTTTTGATGTACAAGAGAAGTTCGGGATAACAATCAGCTACACAAAAGCGTTTATGGCAAAGCATCATGGATTTGGTCTCATTCGAGGTTGCCCGGAAGAAAGTTACGCAAAACTCCCTTCATATTGCTACTATTTGGAGCAAACAAATCCTGGGACAGTCACTTTCATCGAAACAAGTGAGGACGGCCATTTTAATTTTTTTTTCATGGCTTTGGGGCAGTGCATTCGTGGATTCCGCTCTTGTATCAGAAGAGTAATATCTGTGGATGGGACGTTCTTAACGGGGAGATATCGTGGTACTTTACTCATTGCGACATGTCAGGATGCAAATCTTCAAATTTATCCACTGGCTTGGGCAATAGTAGACTCCGAGAACCATCTTTCTTGGACTTTCTTCTTTGAAAAGTTGAAAGATATAACAGGTGATTCTCCAGATCTTGTTATAGTTTCGGATAGGGGAAGCAGTATTCCTGGTGCTTTTGTTCAAGTGTTTGAACATGCACATCACGGATATTGTAACTATCACCTGTTGAGAAACCTAAAATCGGAGTTTCCAAGGTTGGAATTAGACGCATTGTTTTGGGCAACAGCCGAAGCCTACACGATGTCTCATTTCGAAAGCAACATGGCAGCATTATGCAATAAGCATAAGAAAATGCGGGAGTACCTCGAGAAAGCCGAGTTGCACCGTTGGGCTAGAGCACATTTTAGAGCAACTCGTTTCAACATAATGACGACAAACAATGCTGAATCGTTGAACTCTGTGCTAAAGCGTGCTCGAGAATTTCCTATCCTTGGTCTTATTGAACATATCCGGGCGACACTGCAAAAGTGGTTCTACGATAGAAATCTTAATTCTACAAAATGCAGTAGTATTCTTACGCCACCATTTGAGCAGAAGATGCGCAACAGTTACAACGAGTCCAATGGATTAGAAGTGCTCAATGTATCTCTGATGATTTTGCAAGTTGGTGGAAGACATATAGTTGATCTGGAGGAAAGGTTATGCACTTGCCGGAAGTTTCAAGTAGATATGTTTCCATGTGCACATGCCATTGCCGCAATAAGATTTGAGAATGGCAACGGCTACACATTATGCACTGGAATGTATTCGAGCGCTTCTTGGAGAGAGGCATACTCTGAACCCATTCACCCATTGCCTAGTGAGACCGATTGGATGGTTCCGGAACAAATTATGTCAAGAACTGTGTTGCCGCCATTATCACGACGTCCAAGGGGCAGACCTACATTCGAACGGAAAAAATCAGCAGGTGAGGCTCGAAAAAAATCAACTTCTAAACCTCGCCAAATACGTAAATGTAGCAAGTGTTCAAAACCCGGCCATAATCGTGGAAAGTGTGAGGAGATTAACCTCAATCAAGCGACGTGAGGTTATATTTTCGACTAGTGTATTGCTTTTGACTTATAGTGTTTTCACTTTTGGTATAGTGTTTTGATTCGGTTGTATAGTTGCAAAACCTTGAAGTTGTATTTGAACTTGTGTTTAATGTTTTATGTATCCAATGTAGTGATTATGATTGCTAAAAAAAAAAAAATGTTGTTGGTAACGCCTATAGTCTCGTTTTATAGTATTATATAGTAATATTACACAAAAAAGTCTAAAAATATAAATATAACTAAAGTACAGTCGTTATCAACTATAAAATAACGAAAGTACAGTCGTTATCAATATCGCGGGCGCGACTATGATCACGGGCGCGACACTGAAGCACCAATTCGATCGGCAGAGATCTTCCCAGGATGTCGCCGGCGTGACGGGTGTCACGCGCGCGACACGATGATGTTATTTTCTGGACAGAAAGTTGTCCAGGACGTCGCGGCCG